CTCTAAGACAATATATAAATGGCATCTATTTGTGCTGTACATGTCTCTGGCAGTTAAAAAGGACTTTGATCTTCACAGCAGATAACAGTATACTTTTGACAGATTTAAACAGACTTAAAACCTTTGTGATGAGGGCAGCCCTCACTTATACTGCCTGTCAAGACTGACAGCCAAGAGGACAAGCTAAAAGTGCACCTTAACAGTTAGCAAATGTGGATTTGGGGGAATTAATTTATGTTCATTGGGGTTCTCTTGTTAAACTATTATTTTAATATTTACCCTGAAGTAATGCTAGAGAGTTTTGTCGCCTGTATTCTCAACTAGTAGATGCTTACAAAAGTCAAAGCTGACTTTAGTGACTTTGCTCCATGTTCAGTCTACAGCATTTTATCTTCACTGAACTTTTCTACAGGGATGTAGCTTGTATGTGTGTGTTAGTCCAGGGTAAAAGGCACCTGTTTTGAAATTTACTTTTAGCAGTGAAGAAAAAGCATGGGGACCCCCCTCTGTGCCCTCAAAATTATGCAGCTGGGACACATATGCTTTGTCTATGTGGGATTATTTTCTGTGCTGTAACTGAAGGAATCAAAGGGTACACAGATACTGCCTTTAAATGTTCATATCTCTGATGTTAACATTTGTTTAAAAAAGGTTAATTGCAGGCAATTATGTGCTAAAGGAGCTACATCACAAGAAAAGTCAATAGTACTAGGAAACTGTAACTTTGAATTAATGATAGAACTGAGCAGTTGTGCCAGAGCATTTTATTTAAGGAGGCAGCACATTTTTCTTATTATAAACTGCTAAAATGTGATGGTTTTGCATGAGTTTTTGGTTTGTTTTTTCTTTTTCATAACTCTTTTTAAAAAGGCATATTTAACCCTTCACACTGAATTCTAAAAGTGAGTGAATAAAGAAGCAAGTATTCCGATGTTTTAAATTTAACACAGTTTGTTAGTGTTGAATATTTAAAAATAATACTACTTCTTGAATTAAACTATGTCTATTAGATGGATCACTTGAAGGCAAAAGGCACAGTTGTGTTTACTTAGCATGAGAGCCTCAAGAGTTTAAATAGCTTGTGTTTATTTTTGTAATCTGTGTCTATGATAAGAATCCATTACTGCTTTATGGTACTGGTGACTAAAAATTTATTGGTGTATCTTGAAACTATGTCAAACTTGCAGGAATCTGTCCTTTTTTTCCTCCTGCTTTCCAGCCCAGCATCCTGGGAGTTCATAAAACTGTTCAGTTAACGTTCAGCCTTTATCCAATTTGTATAAATCCTCTAGCTGGGATCTGTCTCAAAACTGGTGAGAAATAGTGCTGTTTTTTCTTGGTAAGCTAGCTAAACCACTAAAGATTTCACATTGAAATTATGGGTTTTTTTTAAAAAAAGGTTGCATAGATGAAAGATAGGCAGTCGCTATCGAAGTGCCTTCCAGTCCTTATCTGAAAGTAATCCTGGCCCTCCTGACTCCGTACTTTTTCAGACAGTTGCAGTATGATTCTAAAATACCCTCATTAAAAAAAAAAAAAGAAAAAGCAACAACAACCAACCAACAACAAAAAGCAACAACCTAAATCCAAACAAAATAAACCCGTTGACACCCCAAAAAAAAAGGAAAGAGAATGAGAAGAGAAAGGAAAACTCCAGTTGACCCAAAACCTCTGAAGACTTTTTGTTGCCCAGTTCCTGGTGTTATGCTGCTTGACAGCCCTAGAAAGGACTTGGTAGACTAGGCTGATCTTACAAGAATTTATACTTTCAGTCCCATTAGGATTAAGGAGTTGGCTCACTCCTGATAAATGCCAATATAAAGCAGCAGAGAATCAAGCCAGCTGAGCTGGTCATGACCTTATATGCATAGTGATAATTAATAGGTAATGAGACTGGTATAGCATGGCTCTGAAATGCGGTAGAATACATCATTTAGACTGTTTAGAAATTAAAATTTTAAATCACACTTTAAGCAGGAATTAAAGACATCTTTTGCCATCACGGGCAAAAAAGTTAGTCCTTCACTAAAGAATGTGTGCCATATGTGTCACTGAAATATGTAGTCTTCAATACAGTTATGCAACAGAATAAGAATTATTCATGAATTTGAGGTCAGAGGGTAGGGAAACATGGGTTAGACTAATATAATACCTGTTTTTAATCTGTACTTTAAATAAGGGCAGCTGTTTTAAATTTCATGGAGAGACCTTTCTTGTTCTTGTTACTTTTTTCCTGAGATAATTTGTTCCACTCACATAGTAGTAAGCTTGATGTGTGAATCTTCCAAGCCTGTTCTCCTGCACTAGTCTGCACTCAGGAGTAAATACAAAACTATATGAAAACAAGCAAGTGAAAAAACAATTATTACAAAATATACATGAGTTACTTGAGTAGGATTTTTTTTTCCCATATATCTCTCTGTCAACTATTTCTCCTTTTTCTATATCAGCTAGTGCTAATCTTCTATGAGGGTAGTCAGTCAAGGACATCTCTTCACACAATGACTCTTCTTCACTTGTGTTAGTTGGAGAAGAGCCTTGACTCAATTCTGCTCGCCTGGATGAGGCAATTTGTTCCACAGAACTCGAAAAGGACTGTCTCAAATGCAGTCTTTGACTCTATACTGAGTGTTGCCTTGCTTTTTATTGGTTTTCATAGTCAGTGAGCTACAAAGAGCAGCCATCCTCCCTCTGAAGATAATGTGGATTTACTCATTTTTTTTAATTCATCAGGCATGACTTTCTGAACTTTCCTTGTTTCTGGTGTTTTTCAAAGGGAGGAGAAGAGAAGAAAGAATTCTTCTCTTCATAATCATTAATGTGAGGCCTAGACTTTTTGAAATTTTGAAGTTCCCTTATTCCCTTTAGTAATTTCTGGTTTTGTGGTTGCTCCAAGTGAACAATTTAGAGAGGGTGTTTTGAAAATGGACATAGTGCTTCCTGACAGAGGAGACATGTTCAGGCAGTGCAGCCAGGACCTCTGGCAGAGCCTATTGGAGATACAACCGAAATTCTTGTTCTTCTGCCTGTAAAAATTTAAACACAACTTCAGCTAGCTTTTTTTCATGGAAATTATTTACTTTGAATGAGAACAAAAGCTGTGCAAAAGTGTTTGATTCTGAGAATATATATTTTTTGACTAATTCTGCTCCCACTTATACCTCTTGAAGCACTCAGGAGAAGGGGTTGATTATTTGAAAGCACCATGATCTATAGCTGCTGTAGAGGAAAAAAAAAAAGAAAAAAAAAAGACAAAGACACTTTTGGAATTATATATAGCATTTCAGTAAGAGAAACAGCTTTTTCATCAGTGGACATGTATGTCATACCAAGTTGGCTTTCCATGACAACTGGCTGCTGTTCTTCCTGCCCAGCCTGCTGGAACATCTCCAGAGCTTGCATTCAGGGCCACCACTGAAATGCCTAGAGTGAGTTTACTTTTAATGGCTCTGCTTCAATCAGGAAGAAATAATTAGAAAATAACAAATTGAAAGAGAGTACCTGCAAATTTTTAGACTTGTTGTATTCAGTAAATATTTCATTAGGAAACTCATGGAAAGGTAAAAAGGCAGCAATTAAAAATTTAATTTTTGAAAATGTGGTATATTTTGTACATTACAAAAGTCTTACAATGAAGGAGCAAACCTAATTTTCTGGTTAGCTTTAGCTGGTTTTGAACCGTACTGTCTGAGGCATATGAAACAGAGCACTGAAGCATTTGCATTTCTCCTACTTGATTTCTGTGTCCTCAAAAAAACCCATTGCAGAAGGGACTGCCCTTCCCACCACTGCAAGCATGGGAGCATCACTTCTGAAGGGATTAGTTGCAGAACATATCCTTTTATAAAAACCTTAGTAAGAGTAGAGAGCAGTGAATTTGAAATGCCATAGTTGCACATGACCTAACTCACAGCAATTGTACTTACCAGCTTCAGCTGAAGCAGCTTTCAGTTTTCAAAGAAAATGGTGGCCAGTGACCATGTGTTTCCTTTGAAATCTTTGCCAGAACATGAGATTTTTTATAGATTTTACCGATAAGGAGACTTTGTAGACCCTTCAGCATTCTTCTAAAATCATGAAGCAGAAAAATTGGCAACACTCTCACCTGTCTTCTTAGCTGCTTCTTAAATCTAAAGGAATTGTGCAAGGTGGAAAGCTGTATTTCTGTGCCGGGGTTTTGGTTTTTTTGGTTGGTTTGTTTGGGGGGTTTTGTTTGTTTGTTTGTTTGTTTGTTTTTCAAATAATATTCTTAAACTGTTCTTTCTATTGCAGACTTTGTTTCATTATGAATTTGATAAGAATTTATACAATAAATATTTTAAAGCATTCTGCAATTTAAAAACTACAAGAAGCAACTTGAGATAAATATCACAAAATTATTTCCATGTGCTTTGCAGCAATATTACTGTTTGAATGATGGTCAGGAGCTGAAATGGAGTTCATACACATTTTGTACATTGAAGATAAGTGTTAAAAATCACTGAGCATTTGGCTTCTATATTTTGGGAGTATTTTTAATAATCTAGAAGAGTAGAAATGAGATGACATCACTAACAACTAAAATACAAATCCTTGAAATATTTATGGCATACCAGCTGTCGAAGCATCATCATAATCTTCTGACAAATAACATTCTCTGAAGCTTGATGGATAGCACTCTGATATGCTATGTCAAATACTTTGCTGACTGAATGATACATCTGAAAAATATTTGAAAGTTGTCTTTCTAAAACCGGACAGATACAAGTCTTGCCTTACTGACCTAGAGAGGTATAAGAGATGTGTAGCTCCCTCAACAAAGAAGGGATAATAGATTTACCAGTTTTATGTTTTGTCTTACCTTATTTTGTATCACTTCATATCACCTCTTGTTTTAACATGCTTTTAAGGAACTCCTAAGAGATTAATGCTTGTACCCCTTAGTACTCTTGAGAAAATAAATATTAAATGTAATAAGATGGATTAATTTTTCATTTCACTGCTCACTACTTTCCTTTCAGCTTTTTGCCTGATTACATCAGTGGTGATTTTGATTCCATTCAGCCTGAAGTCAAGGAGTTCTACAAGGTCAAGGTAAATTAAATCTCTCTGATGAATTTTTGTGTGATAGAGCATTGTAAGATCCAACCCATTAGTGCCCCCATTGGTCATTAAGTAATTCTGGCTTCGTTGGTTTCTTTAAGGCTGCAGTTGTGAAGCACCTTACAAGCCCAGAGGTTAAGCTTCATGTGGTACTGTACTAATGCTTAAAGTAAACACAGGAGGTGCAGTACTGCCTGTGTAGGGTGACTTTTCATAGCATGAGGTGAGGAAATAGATTGTATGTTGCTAGAGATTACAGTAATGAGAAACTAGGATAAAACTTTCTGAAAAATCTGACTTCTTTTGCATGGTGAGATACAAAGAAATAAAGATTAACTTGGCGTAATTCTCACCTGGCTGGCACCTACAGACATTCTAGAGAGAGTTTCTCTGTTTGTTATTTGTATGATATGACTTTACCTTTTTCGAGGAAAGCTGCAGATGGAGACATCTGTCTCTTTCCTCACCCACTGAAGCACTAAATTACACCTGACTACTTCTGCTTCACCAGTGCAGTGCCCTCCTTAATGTGTTATTGGATAAATTCCTCCATATGTTAATTTATTTCCAGTGTAGCCACCATGTTTCCAGTGAGCAACATAAATGTAAACTCACTTTGCTTACCTTTGCAGCAGGCTGTACTTGCAAGAGGAGTAGGTGTTTCATCCTTGTGAGCTAGTTGATTTAGTCTGCTGCTATTGAATGTGTGAAAATGAAATTTGCCTGAAATCTTCCCTAATGGACTTGGGATGAAATGGTTAGAAAAAAGGTTTCAGACTGTGAGGGGTGGGCTGGAGGAGTGTGTGGAGCTGGATGTGTGTGGAGCTGGATGGGTTTTAGTCCCTCTCTGAACACTGTAGAGTTTTATTTCCATGTTCTACCCCATTTTTTAGAAGGGAGAAGTGTGTGATGGCAGTTCATATTAGGAGAACAGCTCAAGAAAAATGCTTATGAATCGTTAAATTACAGCTTGGGAAGAGAAGAGAAAATAAAATAAAAAGTTTGGGGTTAATGCTATTCATTACAGGTTGGAAATTCATGATCTGTTAATGAATACAGAAACCACAAAAACCACTGCTCTGTTTGGTGTGGTCATGGGCAACCAAGGGTATCAATACAGGCTGGGGGATGAACAGATTGAGAGCAGCCCTGCTGAGAAGAACTTGGGGGTGTTGGTGGATTGGAAGCTGAACATGAGCTGGCAATGCAGTCCAGAAAGTCAGTTGTGTCCTGGGCTGCATCAAAAGCAGAGTGGCCAGCAGGTCAAGAGAGGGGATTCTGCCCCTCTACTCCACTCTGGTGAGAGCCCACCTGGAGTGCTGTGTCCAGCTCTGGGGTCCTCATCGACCTGGAAGGACATAGACCTGTTGGACCGAATCCAGAGGAGGGTCACCAAGATGATTAGAGGGGTGGAGCCTTTCTCCTATGAGGAAAAGCTGAGAGAATTGGGGTTGTTCAGCCTGAAAAAGAGAAGGCTTCGGGGTGACCTAATTGTGGCCTTCCAAGTACCTGAAGGGAGCCTACGAAAAAGCTGGAGAGGGACTTTTTACAAGAGCATGTAGTGACAGAACAAGGGAGAATGGCTTCAAAGTGAAAGAGAGTAGATTTAGATTGGGTAGGAGGAAGAAATTCTTTACTATGAGGATGGTGAAGCACTGGAACAGGCTGCCCAGAGAAGTTGTGGATGCCCCATCCCTGAAGTGTTTAAGGCCAGGCTGGATGGAGCTCTAAACAACCTGCTCTAGTGAAAGGTGTCTCTGCCCCTGGCAGAGAGGTTGGAACTGGATGTTCTTTAAGTTCCCTTCCAACCCAAACCATTCTATGATTCTATGATTAATGCTTAAATAAACAGCATGGTGGTAGGTAGGTAAGTCCTACCAAAGAATGCAAGTTAAGGATCATTCAACAGAGAGAGGGAGGAGATGGAAGAGGTAGAAGGTGGAAGAATGCAGTAGGGTATGGAAAGGGATAAGCTAAGGTAAATGACTATTACCCTTTTTCACAGTTATTACTTTTCTGGCCATAGCATCCCTTTTGTCAGCTCAGTTGCAACTTACTGTTGATATGCAGGTTGCATCTTCTCTATGAACACACAGTGAACAATTCTACTTCATACAGAGTTAATACATCTGTGCAAGTGCTGAGCTGATAGCCTGTAAAGAAAGCAGTAATTCGTCAGGATTGTAAAGGTGTAATGAACAGAATAATCTAATCTACAAAATCCTTGCCTGGGGTCCTCATACAATGCAGTTAGACTTTAGGATTTTAATTTTGTGTGTGCATGGAAAGAAAAATAATGTTTTTGCATTTTTTAATTAATTTTCCATGGTCAGAAAATTAGAATATTAGATACAGGTGAGTGTCTAAGGATATCTTGAGCAAAAAAATATAATAAAACACAGAATTTGGAGAAAATTGTATGTTTCTTCTACTGTAAAACATCTTGTTCATTAAAGCGCTCTCTGTAGTCCAGACAATTTCCAAAGTCACTGTCTTTTGGAAATGCTGTATGTGTTCATGACCCAAAATGTATTAGGGATACTTAAAACAGGCTGTGAGAGAACTTCAGGTGAGTAGATCAATGTAGGACTATTGACATTAGGGAAGTATGTAGCAGCATGTTGTGAGTTAGGGTAGCTTCCCATACCATCCTTCCTCACCAACAGGCAGATTACACCCAGAGACAAGGTAAGCCACTATCATTAGAGAATTTTAATGTATTGTTGCAAGCGTTCTCTTTTATCAATTGTTTTTATTTTTTTATAAAAGCTACCTCTATGGGCAGAAATTGATACATCATGGCTTTTTTTATCTATCTGACGATAGCATGCCACTGCTAAGAGGAGTTACTTTTTCACAGTAAAGCTTATGGACATTAATTATTGAGTTAGAAAACATAATCATATGCAAGTGTTTTTGTCAAAGACAGAGGAGTGTAGTGCTGAGTAAGAAGCAGAAAGTATTAAATTCAGTGTGTGAAACTAATTATGGTTCTGTGAAGCGTTGTCTATAGGCAGTTGTATCATCATCACAAAACTGTAACAACCTGACTCTCCATCACACCAGCTTCATGCCAGGAGGTTGCTCCTGGACTTGGAAGGCTTTCTACCTCGTTGAACTGATGAAAGCAAGAGCAGTATATGCCACTACAGGAAACATTATTCCTGAAGTTTTACTAGGGATATCTTTAAGCCACTTCCTCTGGTGTGGCTTGAGCAAGGATTACATGATAAGTGTTTCCATTTCCCCTTTAGGAGGACAATCACCATTGTATAGGGGAACCTTATTTTTATCTCTGTTAGGTATGGTGTGCCATATTTACTTAAGAGCTTAAAGGCACAAGTGCTGTGTTGGAAAGTAACTGTGTAATAGACTTACTAGTGGAATGTGTAAGTGATGAGTTGGATATGTTGTCCTTTTGGGAGAGAATAAGTAAGCATGCATCAGAAGTTATTCAGCTTTACTCTTATTTTCTGTAGTCTTAGTTTTGCCTCATTGACTTGTCAAGGATATGCTTGTAGTCTTTTATTCTTTATATTAAAAGATTAGTGATTATTTCCCCCATTTCTCAGAGTTAAGTAATGTTAAAACTGGATAAAACTGCACCACAACTGGAAATGAAGTGTCGTATTTAAAATTTCCTTTTAAAATCATATTGCACTATAAATGAAGGATAAAGAATAACAATTCAATATTCTTTATTCTGTGTATTTTCTACCATTGTTAAAATAGATATTGAGAAGAGGTTTTGTACTTTCATGATAAATATACATGTTCATATGATCCCATAATAGATGCAATGGCAATCTTTCTCTGTACTGTCTGAAGCATGTTGGAAATGGCACTGTACAAAGCAGGGAGGATTTGTGGTGATATTTCTGTCATTACAGTTTCATCTGTATCTTGCTTTAGCTGAATGTTTCTATTATTGAAACCTTTCAAACATTACTTTGAAGTTAAGGCAGCCATTTGTATTGTTATGCCTCAAACAATGTTCTGTTTCTGAAATTTTGAGACCAAAGACATTATCTAAAATTATACCAAATCTGTACTTATGCCTAGAAGCAGAAGGTTGAATCCAGTGACCTTTGAAATCCAGATTATGCTATTTGTTAAAAATCCAGTTTGACTTTTCTACTAGGTAAACTTCATATGCTTTCTATAGACTTAGTAGGCTTTACTTCAGATCTGTAATTAAATGCTGTAAACTTATTTACAAATCTAGTTTTTTTCCTATTCTCTTTTCAAGTCCCGTAGAGCTGCTTATTTTTGCAGGCAGTTCTGCAACTATAACACTTTCTCTTTCCTATTTCCATTTCCAGGGTGTAATGTTTATCAGGGCTGTAGAAATGCTTAATAGGTATGGTGTGAGTATTGTCTTTTTGTTCTGTGATGATGCATCTATAATTAGATTTACAAAATGTATTTGTAGCACTGATATATTGCTTGTATGTCTCTCTAACTTCTACATTTTCTTGCTAACCTGCATGTTTTAATGCTGTGTTCCCTGCTTGCTTTCCAAGGCCAAACTTTTTAATAATTTTGTGAAATCCCAATATTAATTGATTTATCTCAGTTATATTATTATAATTTAAGACATACAAAGCCATTGAGTTTTTCGTTACTATTTTATCTTTTATCCCTGAATTTTAGTTTGTTTTCCTAAAACTAATTTTTAATATAGGTTGGGACTTCAGATATTAAAACATTCAACTTGTTTAGAGTATCCTTGTTACATTGAATAGTTTTCTAAGAAAAATATGGTTCATTTTAGGCCCTGATTCCTTTGTGAGAGGTTTTAAGGTTTCAGAAGGAGCTGCAAAAATTGTGCAGGTGGATCTGAGACAGTTCAGTCTTGCTATTAGACTGATTACTTCTGCTTGACATTCCCCACTTTAGCTTTCAAGCAGTCCCTTGCTCTGTGTGTCCCGCTGAAGATACCTTTGACAAGCATAAAAAGTGCTATACCTACCTCAGTTCAGCTTCTGATG